AGTACAGTTCTAGCGAGAAATGGCCCTTCAGGTGGGCGCTTATCTCCGGTTTCATCCTTTAGCTTATCAGTGGTCTCTAGTCATTGTTGTCAATTTTAGTTTCTTTAGTTCTCATGTTGCCTTTAGTTGTATTTAGTTGTATTTAGCTGTATATAATTCCTGTAAACAAGACCCACCTAGATGAGCTCAGCTACCCGCGGGCATGTTATAATTGTACTTCTAATTTTACAACACAATAAAAATATATGCATGTATGTATGTATGTATGTATGCATGTACATCCTGGGAAACATCAGGTATGCTCTGAATTTTCTTTTGGTGGTGCCATGAGAATCAAGCCAGAGGTTATCGTCAGTTTCCGGGGCTCGAAGCCACAAAATGGCTATTTTACACACAGTTTCACTGGAAAATATTATTGTATCAAAATATTGGAAGACAACTTGAAATAAATATTGTCTAGTTTAACTGTGTCTTTGCAGCCCCGGATACTTTGAGAGTAAACTACTTTTACCAAAAAAAAAATAACCTGCCCACCAAACCGCTCGATGCAGAATGCAGTCCAGCGCACTAACCAATATGCAAAGGTACAGAGGTCCCATTTAATTCGTTTTCCAGAAACATGCAATTATCGGTTATCCCAAAAGTGAGAGTTGTTCTCGTTATTAAATCTCGAACGTACAGCTTACTGTTTTAATTGAGTACTGTCTGATACTTTTAACAGGCATTTGAGTGACAACGATATTACAATTCTACCTGACGGAGTGTTTGCCAAGCTGACGAGACTGGAATACCTGTAAGTAAAATGAGAGATTAATAAAATGCTGTAAGGTTGGCAATAATTTTTAAAGCAAAAATTTCTTTCCATCCCATAAAGGGAACATAAAGATAAACGGCAGGTAGAAGAATAACTTAATTTAACCCGTCAATGTACAAGCTAAGTTGGTTATGACGTTATATGACTTCTGCCACCTGCTTCTGCTATTTGTGATTACAAGATACCACAAAAATGTATGGTTTTTGGGAGGGTTGGTATCTTTCCGGGTGAGTGAAGATTACACCGGGCGAGTTTACTTCAGAGTCACCCTAGGAAATGGCGATTGCTTTTTAAATTTAATTTCCAACACTGGAAAATATATATTTTTTCCCTTGTTTCGCTTACTGCATGAAATGCCCTTTACACAGGTCATTGGACTTCAACGCTATTACATCTTTTCCTGATGGATTGTTTTCAAACCCGAATCAAAGTGATTATAAAGCAAATTAAAATTTGAATTTTGAGGCAGAATTTGAAAAATGTTAAGTGCATATTGTGGACCACCTTAGTAGAATCTTACTGCCAAGAAGTAAACATTTCTGATTCAAATTGGCTGAGATGTCTTTGTTCGTCATATATCTAATAAGATAGATGTGCATACGAGTGACATACGAATACATCCAAGTAATATACGAGTACATACTAGTAACAATATACGAGCACATACGAGTAAGATATGAATGAGGGGGCCACCGAGCTCGTTTTTGAGTTGGCGGCAGTAAAAGCTGAATTTAAAGGTTTTCAGCAGTTTATACCGTTGCAATGGTAACCTATTGTCTCGCAAAAAAAAAAATGAAAACAACTTGTTCAGCAGTGATTGAGCAGTTTTTGATACAATGATTACAGCTTCAATCTAAGTCTTGGAAAGTGCTGGAAACTCTTACCAGCCACCTTAAAAAATAACAATCAACAATGATTTAGGTAAACATATACAGGCAAAAACTAACGATAGACAAATCCGACGTTTCGGCGACATCTTGGCGCCTTTGTCAAGGGAAGCTAATTAAATATGCGATTTCAAGAGTAACTAAGAGTTCAGAGTTACTAATTTGCATAAGATAGACAAAGACCTTAGCGCGAACTGAGTCTGATTGTACATTTAAACACGGTCGTAATTGTTTAATGAGTAACAGGCAGGATTCCGCATGACCTTCGCAACTGTTTTAGCGTCTTGAAAAAATGCCACAACAAGTTTGATTGTCTCGTTAATGAGATGTTACTCATTAAACAATTACGACCGCGTTTAAATGTACAGTCAGACTCAGTTCGCTCTAAGGTCTTTGTCTAACTTATGCAAATTAGTAACTCTTAACTCTTAGTTACTCTTGAAATCGCATATTTAATTAGTTTCCCTTGACAATGGCGCCAAGATGTCGCCGAAACGTCGGATTTGTCTATCGTTAGTTTTTGCCTGTATAACCTTAAAAAATTAACGATAAATTGGCCCTCTCTCAGCCAGTCACGATAAAGTAATTTTCTCACTCATTTAGAATAAGAAATAACGGTCCTTATGATTCATTTATTGCCAGATATTTGGACAATAGCAAGATAAAAGCAATGTCGAGAGACACGTTTGCCAAATCGCGAAATTTCAATAAATAAATTCGGTTGCTTTCCTTCTTCAGGCATGCCGAAACAACAGGAACATTTAGTAAAAAAGACAATAGATGTATATGAACTGAAGTAGCCATTGGATTTTGTTTTTGATCTAAAAGTATACTTCGTTCTTAAAATTTCTACGGACAGCTGTTTTCCCATAGGCCTACGAAACATTTTATCGGCTAGCTTGATGAACCGTTCTTAGCGCGCCTACTTGTAAGAAGTTTTCTGAGTAAATCTAAATAAGATCAATTGCGCCATGTGTTTTGTTTGTTTGTTTTTTGTTGTTTGTTTGTTTTGTGTTGTTTTCAAAATAAGCATTATCGAACTACTATGCACGGCTCATTACGCGGCTAACTTGCCTATTTTTTTTTTCTTTCCCATGCAGATCTCTTAAAAGCAACCTGTTAGAGAATATTCCATATCGAGCATTTTTTACCATGTATCAACTTGAAATAATGTAAGTATTTACCTGAGCACTGGTTATACGAAACGAATAAATACCAGCACATTTAGAAAGGCGATAAATTTAATAACAATTTATGAAGATTTATTCGTAGCCAAAGCACACGTATTATTTAACACTTGTTAATTGAAGCAGAGATAATTATTGTTTTAGCAGTATACCAGCATCCTTTATAAAT